TCTCTCTCTCTCTCTCTCTATCTTTGTTTTTTTCCCCCCCCCCCCCCTTACACCCACACACAACAAAGAACAAAGAACAAGAAACCCACCACCCCTGCATGAAGTTGCAACCCTAACAGTGTTGCCATTCTTCATCTAAACAATCGGGACAGAGGTGAGAACTCGAAGAAAACTGCAAGTAATGCTGACCCGAGAGTAACTAAGGCCTGACTTAAAATTGTCTATAATTTGGAGTTTAAGTGTCCGGGGGCTCATTTTGCATTTCCTCCTCTTCAGATTTTTAACGTATAAGTTGAAACTCTTATTCCTTCAATCTTTTTCCAGAATACAAAAAGCAATAAATCCCCCCAAAAACAAGATGACAAAACAACAACAGCAACAACAACAACAACAACAACAACAACAACAACAACAACAACAACAACAACAGCACCACCACCAACAACAACAACAACAACAACAACAGCAACAACAAAATAAGCCCCGTTGAATTTCTTCTTCATGTGAGGAAGAAATCGTGTGTGAACTCTTTGAACTCAAACATCTCAAAAGTGAGAGTAATTAAGATAGAGCTATCTTATTCTGGAATCAAGTAAATGTAATTCTGGTAGTCGCTAGTCACAAATAGGGGGCTCTCGCGGTCTAGAGGTTAAGGTGTTCGCCTCTCATTCAATAGGTTCCGGGTTTGAATCTGGATAGCGACGCAAAATTTTCTTTTCTAAAATGTTCTCTTTTCTCATTTTTCCATGCTTTCCAACAATGTCCTGTCGCCTGTTTTCGTCTCCATGCACTTCCCGCCCACACCCCCTCACCTCTTTTGCCCCCTCCTCTGGGCTCCTGACTCTTTCTGCAGCCTTTCAACTGCTAGTCCTTAGCTCCTTCTTACTGCTGTCTTTCAGCCACACCCCTGAAATTATGGTAGGTAACATCTACACCTAGCCGTCTCTGATAAGGGCGAAAAATCTCTGAGGCCCCGTGTGCAAGTTGCGCACGTTAATTAAAGATCCATTGGTTGTTCAAAATCGATAAGCGCCACTCGGCAAAATTCAAAATTTCCTACCAACTGAAAATGTTTGGTGTGTCCCGCGCTCATGTGACCTTATGAAGTCGCGAGCGCTATAAAACACTTACCGCCCAAAAAATAATGTCACAGATAACGAGTCCCGTAGACAATACGAAAAGGTGGAGCATTTTTTTTCTTTGAGATGAGGAACTGTTTAGTTGACATGTAAGTCCACCAACACAACTCAAATCTGTTCTCAACATTTTCAGCTCAGTAATTATTTCTTGTAAGATTGTAAATTATTATTTCTCGGCCTTTTGGCTAAGATCAAAGTGTTGTATCCGTTCCTGATTTTTCGACCTTGTGGTGAGTACAAAACGGGACAGCTGATACTACCGAAGCTGACGATGCTTTAATTAGTCTCGATTATATCTTATGTATGGCGGGAACGCCCTCTTTGCTTAAAAAATGCTTATTATTTATTAGATCTATGTTTTACATCCCGAAATCGATACAATTTCGATATTTTAGCAATGGGGGTTGCCTGCCAGGATGATATTATTCAGCCTGAATGGTGTCCGGCATTCCAGCAAACTGAGATACTCGATAAGCCCTCTCCCTGACACAGTAATCGAACCCATATCTTCAGCGTGCAAAGGAGAAGAGCTGAATTCGATGCTTGTCAAACTTTACACAGCCAACGCCCACTTTTGCCAACTTTTAAGAGGCTACAGTTTTCGTACCGCCCACTCACCTGAGTAAGCCTAGTGTATATCCGTGCGGGCATTATAACAGCTGACACTGCCTGGGTGATCCCCACCGTTCATCAAAATGACAAAATAGCCCACTTGGGGGTGATATTGCTGAGGTCAAAGAGGTACTAGAGCGTGCAGCAGTGATGTCACACGTGTCAGATATGGGAGCCTTCTCACCCTCTTCGGCATGGCCGGCGTGACCCCATTTACATGAGCAGCCTGAGCCCCCACGAGCTCTAGTATGATAATAAACACAACCCTGTCCCTCATATTTCAATGCAATCTTGTATATTTCCTTCTAAGACCGCCAAGACGCCTTCATATGAGTCTCGAAAAGTACTCACCCATCTGTTGGACTGCACATGTCTCGTCCTTGAAGTTCAGCGTCCCAGAGTAGGCCCACGCAGCCCCGTTCGTTTATGTGGGTGACGTCACTGGTATGAACTCAAGCACTAAATATAACCTCTTTGTGCTCAGGTTGGCAAGGGCTGGCTTAACTACGTGTATTACACCACAGACGTCCGTAACAGTAACGATAAAATTATTGCTGGGTAGTCCGGGCAAGTCCAGGATAGGGAAAAGTGGTAAATGTTTGTTCGTGGCCTATGCTCTGATCCAGGGAGAAAAAGGCATTGATGATGAGTCTAATAAAAAAAAAAAATCTCTACTCTAGTGAAAAGAGACTCGCGTTTTTGTTTTCGACATCTGCGACAGTTTCTGTGTCCTGCGGAGTGTGGTGATCGGCAAACAAAAGATTGCAATAGGGCCTACAGCCAATTTGCATAACACAAGCCCCACCTGCCACCTATCACAATGTCCATGTTCGTCCGTTGATGTCCCAAACTTTGCCTCCAGCTTTTCTCGTCTCTGTTTTGATGTATTATTTCATGGAGTTGTAGACCACTGTTGGATTTTAAGTTTTCAAATTATGATGCAGGAGGCTTTCCCGTATTTCCCTTTGTCTCTATTTGGCCCTGTAATATTACATGTGTTACCATAAGGCCCGTTTTATTGTTTTTGTTTGCGGAACCAGGATATTTGAGTCTACTTTGCTGATCGTAAGCGTGTACATGATTTTTAACAAAATAGAATTATGTTGAAGCATTTAGGTAAATCTGTTTAATCACTTAGCTCAGAATGTTTGCGTTGAAAGTGGAAAACAAACAAACAAACAAACAAACAAACAAATAAATAAACAAACAAACAAAAGAAAAAAAAACCAAGCTAAAAACATAACCAAGCACAACAACAACAAAAAAGCAACAACGACAACAAAAATAACCAATAAACACACACCATAAAAAGAAAAACAGCAGAGGAACTTCTTGCTATAAGATTGACTCATAGATTTAAATTATAATATCTTTGACCAGGCATTGTCATGGTCGCCGTTTATTGCTCTCTGTAAGAACTTCGCAGCGTTGATGGTTACCAAGGTCTCGCAAATGAAGGGCAAAGCATCAGTCTCGGTATAGCCAAGGGCGAGGGCACCTTTCATACCTGGCTCATCAATTGGTTCCAAACGGAGTCAAATGGAGCGCTTCATTTTGAATCAGAATTACATCTGTGTGCACAATCTTGGGTATCACAATACGCATTATACAAGTCTACGTATTCATTCCTTTCACCAATCTTCGAAGTCCAAATGACATTTAAAAAAATGAACTTTAAATTTACAAAATGTGCTGTAGACGAAAGATTCAAAAAGCTTTTAAAAAACCCAAAACAAAACAAAAACAAAATAAATAAAACACAACAAAACAAAGCAAAACCACTATAATTCTTGCAATTAAGTACGGGTGCGATGTGAGAGGACTTAAAATGTATCAAACCGTGGAACCTCTACAATTTGAAAGACCGTCCAAAATTTCAGTAAACATCTTGCACTTTGCATTGAATAATTGAAGACCAATTAATTGTTGTAGGATAAGGCAAGAACAATAATGTTCAAATAATAGTAAAAAAGTCAAGAACAGAGTCTGGAGTAAGAAGAGTCAGAGACGGAGAGATAGAGACTAAGAGAATGAGAGAGAGAGAGAGAGAGAGAGAGAGATAGTTAGATAGATAGATAGAGAGAGAGAGAAAGAGAGAGAAAAAGAGAGAGGTAGAGAGAGGGAGAAAGAGAGAGATAGACGATAGAGTGAGAGAGAGAGAGTAAATGAGACAGAAAGAATGTGTGTGTGTGTGTGTGTGTGTGTGTGTGTGC